ACCTGGTGTGAAATGTCTGTGGAGGCCAGAAGAGGGCATTGGATAGCCTGGAACTGGGGTTATGGATGGCTGTTAGCTGCCATGTGGGTGCTGGGAACTGAACCCAGGTCCTCTTCAAGAGCAGCCAGTGCTCTTAACCACATAGTTTTAATCTTAAACTATGTTCCCTATTTACTTGTCATGACCCTTCCTTGCTCTGATCCATAATAATGCATGTTGTGAAAATATCATTGCTCAAAGTAGTGGTCTTGGAAACATGTTGAAAGCAGCAATTATCATCAGTATATGTTGTAAAACAATGTGTGGGCTTAGGTTGGTAATGTCTGATTGTGGTTCTGTATGTTGTTCTGGGTTGGTAGGGGTCAGAAAAGGAAAATTCTTCCCTGACAAGAATGTTTTTAGTTTCTCTCTCTCTCTCTCTCTCTCTCTCTCTCTCTCTCTCTCTCTCTCTCTCTCAACAGGGTCTCCTGTAGTCCCAGTGGGCCTGGCTGGCCTCCATCTTACAGATATCTGCCTGCCTCTGCTTTCGAGTGTTGAGATTAAGGGCATGCACCACCATGCCCTGTGTTGGTTAAAGATTCTTTAAGACAAAACTACTTATTTCCTTTCCCATATCTTGCTGGATGTACTGTTAAAATAAATACAGAGAAAGTCTGTTGCTCAAAGAACAGTTCTGAGAGAAATCAGGAGCAGTTTGAAGAACAGGTTGAGCTCACTGTGGAGTGAACGACTCTGGGAGTGAGATTTGTCGTTCAGGCACTGCTGCATTGTAGCGTTGCCACATCTACCTAAAGAAATGCTCAGGCCCAGATGCATTGATTCACTGCTGAGTTCTACCAGATCTTTACAAAAGAAGACATACCAGTGCCCCTCAAACTAGTCCTTTAAAATGGAAAAGGAAGAAACACTAATGAACTCTTCTGTATAGCCAGATGTACCTTGAGAGTTAAACCAGAAAAAGACACAACAACAAAAAATAAAATCAGACCAATCTCTGATGAGCATAAATGCAAAAGTCTCAATACAGTACTTGAAACTGAACTGAAGAACATATAAAAAAATCATTCACCATGACCAGCTTTGTTCCAGAGGTTTAGGGATGGTTCAACATGCAACACATTACATAAATGGACTTAAGGACAAAAGTTCCTTATCTTGATAGATGCAGATGTTGGATTCTGACAAAAATCCAACATCCCTTTGTGAGAAATGCCCTGAAGAAATCAGAACTAAAAGGAACAAATCTCAACATAATGAAGGCTCATATTTCAAATCCATATCCAACATTATACTAAATGGGAAAAAGCTCAAAGCATTTTGGCTAAAATTAGGGACAACGGTATCTACTACTTTACTTTTATTCCATATAGTGCTTGAAATCCTAGCTAGAGCAGTAAGAGTAGAGAAGGAAATGAAAGGGTTACAAAGAGGTAAGGAAACCAAAGTATCCTTATTTGTAGAAACATGTAAGACTTCAAGGATTACACTAGTAAAAAAAAAAAAACCAAAAACCCCCAAAATAGATATGCATATGACCTCACTACACCACTCCTGAATATTTGTCAGAAGGACTCTCAGTCAACATATCACAGATACTTGCACATCAATGCATATAACATCAATATTCACAATAGTTAAATTAT